TCTCAACCCTGAGCTCTGCTGGGTCTTAGGCCCTTTTACTCAGACTACAACTACACCATCAACTCTTCTGGGCCTCCAGCTGGCCAACTGCAGAACTTGGGACTTGTCAGCCTTCGTAATGTGTGAGCCAGTTCCTTAAAATAAACCATACACCCACACCCATATCCACACCCACAAACACACACACATATCCTGTCGGTTCTGTTTCTCCAGAGAACCCTGACTAATACAGTCTCCTTTCTATCTGCCTTGTCAGTTTTTCAGGAAAATCTTCATATTTTTCTTTCATGTATCTTTCAACTCATGCTATCTACCCCCAAATAAGACAGTGGCTATTTGCAGAGAGCAAAACATCACAACAGTAGAATACATTCCATGTGTCCTATGTTGTGTCCATTTTTATTATTTCAAGTGTTTTCATAATTAATCCTAGGGACACAGTGACCCAGGGAGATAATAAAGCAGAAATTGTTCCCTTCATTTTTACTTTAGCAGTAGTTAAAGTATAATTGACACACAATAATCTATACCTATTTAAGTGTACAATTGTGATGAATTTTGAGATATGAACTTATCTGTGAAACCATCAGCACAGTCAACATAAATAAAATACCCATCCTCTAAAGTTTCCCTGTGCTTCATTGTAATCCATTCCCTTCCCCCACCCCACCCCATCCCCACATGATCACTATTGATATGTTTCCTTTTTGTATGAAAAGAAAAAAGTAAAGCGTTAGTTGCTCAGTCATGTTTGACCCTTTGCAACCCCATGGACTGCAGTCTGCCAGACTCTTCTTTCATGGAATTCTCTAGGCAAGAATACTAGAGTGGGTAGCCGTTCCCTTCTCCAGGAGATTTTCCCAACCCAGGGATTGAACTCTGGTCTGAAGCATTGCAGGCAGATGCTTTACTGTCTGAGCCAGTGGGGAAGCCCTTTTTACAGTCACTGAGAAAACTGAAGACCGGAGGGTGATACGTCCTTCCTATGATAGGGTTAATATCCAGTCTCCTGACACTTGGCGCAGTGTTCATTCCAGAAGACCATCGTCACTCATCCTTAGAAGAAAGGGGAGAGAACCATTTACTGAGCAGCCACCATATGCTAAGTCCCAGGCTAGGTGCTTTATATGGTAGCTATGTAAATACAGTAGCCTGGGTACTCCTTTGGCTTTAGATGCCTTCTCTCTGATGAGCATTTTCCTCCATCCCTGATTTCTCACTTAAGCTCACATATCCATTGTGAGCTTGGGCATATCTCTTTCTTGGAGGTTTAGCAAGCATCTCAAACTGAGCTCACCTAAATGTTGCTTTATTTACAACCTACCTTTCTCTAGTTCCCGATCAGTAGGCCCTGATTCTTCTATTCAAGTGCTCAAGCCAGAAATTTTGAGTCAACTTTGATTCTTCCCTTCCCTTCACCTGGGACCATGGCTACCCCTTGGTTAAGCCACCGTTATGTCCCACTGGCTGTCTCTGCTTTGCCCTCTATAATCTTTCTCCACACATCAGCCAGTTGTTGTTGTTTAGTCACTCAGTCGTGCCTAACTCTTTGTGCTCCCATGGACTGTAGCCTGCCCAGCTCCACTGTCCATGGAATTCTCCAGGCAAGAAAACTGGAGTGGGTTGCCATTTCCTTCTCTGTCAGCCAGTAATCTTCTTAAAACAAATGAGATCATGACACTCCTCTTCCTAAAACCCTCCCTCCGCCCCTCAGTGGGATGACCCAGAGGGATGGGATGGGGATGGGGGTGGGAGGGGGGTTCAGGATGGGGAACACATGTACACCCATGGTAGAGTCATGTCAATGTATGGCAAAACCAATACAATATTGTAAAGTAAATTAAAAAAAAAAACTGATAGAAAAAAAAACACATTTGGAATAACTGTATGTTTTTACTTAGACTCATGAAGTTCTATGTGATTTGTCACTTCTCTGAACTGGTATTGCAACCCCATCCTGATCTCTGGACACACACACAAGCCTCCAGCTGCTCTGACCTTCCTTTTAATGCTTGAACATATTAAGCTTATCACTGCCGTAACTTCTCTGCTTAGAACGTTATGCTCTCCTTAGCTTAATATGGATAATTTCTATTCTTTCCTAAGCTATCAGCCAAAGAAAAGAAATGGTAGTTATCACCATCTGAAATTATCTTGTTACTTTTTTGATAATCTGTTCATTGCTTGTCTTCTTTCTTGAGAATGAGCGTAGGAACCTTGCATGTTGTATTTACTGATGTATATACTTATCTATCTCCAACACTTAGAAAAATGTTTGGCATATTCTAAGTGCTCAACACCTATTTGTTGAATAAATGGTCAAATAATAGGTATCTTAATCACAGTAATTGTTAACCATCTTCACAGTTAAATATTTCTCTATTGCTATGTAAAAACTGAACAAGTCTTCCTAATTCTTTCTCCCCTCAGTGTTTTACTTGGCCCTGTGCTCTCCATAGTGATGAAACCTTTAAACATTTTAACTTCTTTATTTTCCTACCCCCTCGTGAAACCTCTCCCCGCATACCCCCAACCCCTACCTCTTGGGTTTTGCCGAGTAAACTCAGCACTTTCATTCTATTATCCCATATTTTCTTACAATATGCCTCTTCTGTTTCAATAATCCTCACTTAACTCATATTACAATTCCCAGTCAAGCATTCATCATTTGTTTTTAGATTTAATAATAAAATACCATAAGATTCATTGCTTACTACTTTTTCTTATACTTGTCATCCTCTGTATCTTGAGACTTTTGTTTTAATTTAAGCTTCCTTTGGTTAGAATCCTTCTCAAGTGGTTTCTCAGCTAGGGGTATGCCTTTTTTTAAAAGCACATAACTCTTTGACTTCTTTAATGTTTGAAAATTTCTTTAAATAAGAATAGCAACAACAAGAAGGCTATATTTGGTAGTAATTAGTGCTGTTGCTGGGGGAAGAGGGTTGACAGAATAGTCAAGGGCCTTATCTTCATGGAGCTTACATTTTTTTCTTGGCCTTTGCACTGGTGGAACAGACTGATGCAGGAATTAACACTCCCACCGTCAATCTCAAAGGCTTAAAAAATCCTAAGTGTCTTTTAAGCTCATGTGAAGTTTGCCGCTGATCCCAGGGAACTTACTAGGGAGTTTATCGACTATGTGAAGGCTCAGTGTTTTGAGTCTATATCAACAGGAGCTGCTTAGATCACATCAGCAAGGGAGAATGCTGGAACATCTCCTACCACCATTAAATGCTTCTGCCCAGGAGGGACACACTCATTTTCATTGGCCAAAGAATTTCACTATGCCAAACTGCAAATGAGTCATGCCAAGCCCTCTGTGTGCCTGGAAGGCAGAGAACTGGAAATATTTGGGAGCATCAATCAGTATCTAACTCAACCTTTGCTTAAAATGGATGTTTTGGTGGAATATAGATAGAATTGCAGTGCATTTTTTTCTCTTGATCTAAAAATTATGATTCACTGTCTTCTATTACCAGTGTTGTATTTAGAAATTCAGATATTTATTTTTGTCTATCTATCTACCACTTATTTATCTATTTACCAATATATTTGTATATCTGTGCTAGTTGAGGTCTACTAAAATGACACAAAGAAAGGATTAGATAGGTAAGAGATTTATCAAAACAGGAAGTGAAGGGCAGGAGAAACTTTGACCACAATGGAGGTATAAGACCTATGAAAGCAGAGTGGTAAAGAAAGAAGTTAAGGCAGGAGCTATTTCTGACAGCAGTGCAGCTCTAGGAAAGGTTTGGTCAGGTCAATTGGGAGTCCTTGAACCAAAGTTTTTCATAGGAGGCATCCTGCATCACTTGGGAGTGGGCCTACCTTAGGACCCTTGCATGCTTAGTCATGGCTGGGAGCTGTCTGCGGAAAGCAAGGCCTCAGCATGAACTGTGTGGTGGTTTCAGAGGGGCTGGAGCGGGGCCATCAGCTAATTAGATTCCCTGTAGTAGGAGATCTGAGAGGCACATCTTCATGGCTGCCACAAGAAACTCATAAAAATTTTTTCTTCTTTTTCGGAGTTCAGTAATTTTGCCAGAGTATGTCTAGGTGTGTGTTACTTAAAATTATTCCTGTTCAAGGCAACTTCCATATGAAGTTTCCTGCTTTTCCTCCCCTCAGTGAAGTTTTCTTTAATTCCATCGCCCATAATTAATCCTCCTCCATCTTTCTTGCTCCCTTTTTAGAAGTCTATTCTTAGATAATCTATCTCCTGCTTTTGTCTTTTATGTCTCTTACCTTCTCATCTGTGGTCTTCAACTTAAGTAGTTTTTGCTCTGTATTGTGATTGCTGCTTATGTTCAACTTTCTAATATGTTACAGTTTTAAAGCTAACTTTAAGTTTTAAAGTTAAAAAACTTAAGTTTTAAAGTTAAAGTTTAATCAGAAAAACTGAAAAAATAGCATTTAGCTTTAAATTTTTTCTATTGAACTTTAGAATTTAAAAATCATGTGTATAGTACTAAAAGGTGTTTTTGTGTGTGTGCTTTCACAATATCTCATTAAGAATTCTAACTATATCTTGCCTCCTTAAAAGCCGCATGTTGGGAAAGGTCTCCCTGCCTCAATGGCTTCTGATCCCTTTAATAATATCTGGCCTGTAAGTACATGATTTGTAGAGTATGCACACAAGGCATTGGAGTCTTTTGGGTCAAGGGTGGTCAATAGGTAGTGGAAGTCAGAGAAGTTTCTTTTCTGGTAGGTTGTTGATGACAGGTTTGTTAAGATGGGGTGTAGAAGGGAGGCCTCTTTGTTATAATATTCCAGTGGAAATGGGGTGTCTTCAACCCCATGTTGCCACTTCCCTCTGACACAGCCACCTCTGAAAAATAGCTGACCTCTTCTAGATCCACACAGAGCTAGTTGGAGGGATGGTTCCTCTCCCTGACCCTAGAGGGTACATCATACTTTCTTTCCATGGCCTCATAATTGAATTCTTCACTGCAGGTTCTTCAAGGAAGGCAAGACTCTTTTCAGTTGGGGTTTGAGTCCTTCCTTTGATGTAACAATGAATGACTCCCTCATCCTAAGTCCTCTTTCCCAGTATTTGAAGTGTCAGACATACCTGGCTTCTCTTCTAGGCCACTACAGTGAGTCAGGTTTATTTTGGTGGTTGAATGATACCTGGGAGTTGGAACAGTGAAAAGACCCTGAGCACATATTCAGGTCATTATTTTGTAGAATCCTCCAAAAATTTCCTCTCTGATCTTCCCATCTTCTTATCTTTTCAAGCCCCATTTCTTTGTTCATAGTGGCATGCCAACCTGTTTCCCTGAAAGAGGTCTTATAAAAGGAAGAGCAATAGTTTGAATTTGTCACTGTTGTTATACTTTTATTTGCCTACAGATCAGATACTCTATGGTGCTGACAACTTTATGTAGTAAGTCTAGGATCAGCAACTGAGGACTAGCTTAGGGAGTTGACACCCTGTCACCCGTGTCCAACTGTTGTCATTGGAGCAGCCCCCAAACAAAGATGGGCAGGTAGGCACATTGGGATAATATGTCTCTGGCGAGGGGAGTGGGTTGGGACATTTCATGGTCATTTGTGAGAGTAGTCATTTCATCATGAGAGTACACCTTTGAAATGCCTTTGTTGTTTAAGTTTCTTTCCTGATGTCTGGCAATGTTGCCATGTTTCCACCAGATATATAGAAGGCAAGAACTGGGTTCAAAGCTCTGTACAAGTCATTTAATATATGTTAACTCATTCACTCCTACCACACCTTTGTGTTGCTATCTTCATTTTACACATGGGCAACTAGGGCTTAAAGCGAAGAGGTGAATGCGATGGCAGGATTGGTATATGAAGATGGTTTGAGTGATCCCAAAGCCCATACGTATGTTCTATGCCACTAATCCATGCTCTGCTTAATTTTGACTTGGTTTTGAAAGATGAACCAAGATTTCAAGAGCAAACAAGTAAAGGAAAGGTGGTTGGTTTGCCAGCCCACAAACAGGCAGGAGTTGGCCATAAATGGGAAATGGAAAGTGGTCCAATGTGATGGGATTATATACTACAGTTCAGTTCAGTCCCTCAGTCATGTCCAACTCTTGCCACCCCATGAACTGCAGCACATCAGGCTTCCCTGTCCATCACCAACTCCTAGAGCTTGCTTAAATTCGTGTCCATCAAGTAGGTGACGCCATCCAACCATCTCATCCTCTGTCATTCCCTCCTCCTCCTGCCTTCAATCTTTCCCAGCATCTGGTGGCCAAAGTGTTGGAGCTTTAGCTTCAGCACCAATCTTTCCAATGAATATTCAGGACTGATTTCCTTTAGGATTGACTGGTTTGATCTCCTTGCTGTACAGGAGGGTTGTTATGGGAGGGATGAGATTTGAAAGAGAAGTTAATGCCAGATGGTGAAGGATCCCATCTCTTCCAAGCTGGCAAAGATTAGGCAAATTGCTTCACCTCTCTGAGGCTTAGTCTTCTGATCTGGAAATGCCTTTCCTGATTGCATCCGTGTGTGTGTGTGTGTGTGTGTGTGTGTGTGTGTGTGTTCATGCTTTCCCATGTGTGTTTTCCTGTGAAGCACCTAGTAAGTGCTTAATGAAAGTTAATCCTCCCTTGCTTTTCAGGACCTGGCAGCTGGCTGGAAGTGGGAGTTAGGGATGGGAGGACTGGAGGGATGGCAATGCTTATCACCTCCAGAGGCCCCAGGCTTCTTCCAATTCCAACTACCTCTTCACACTTGAGAGATCAGCCTCGGGCCCATTTGGTGTTAATTACAGCAACCCAGGCTTCTCTGTGTGAAGGAAACAGGCCCTCGTTTCTCTCATTAAAGTAAAATATGACCCATTTTTATGCTTGCGTATTTTGTTGCCGAGATTACGAGAATCATCCTTTCTGTTTAGACGGAATGGAGAAACGTTACACCAGGAGGGCGGCCGGGGGCCCCGAGTCCGGGGAATAGAAAGCAGATGTTGTCCTCACTGCAATTCTCCCTTCCAGCCTTGGTGTCCGTCTCCTCCTCACGGCCTCTTCTCCGTCTCAGAAGCATAATCCTTATTTCAGATCCACATGAGGTAAGCGGACTGTCGGGGAATAAGCTCACATTTATGGAGCTCTTTACCAGGTGCCAAGCTCTATAAACAAGTTTCCCCCTTAGTTCTCCCCCAAAGCTTCAGGGGTGGTTGGTAATAATCGTTTTTTCATCCCCAGTTCCCTCAAACCAGAGATGCCCAACCAAAGTCTTCCCGGTGCTTTGAGATGTGGAGAAAAATGAATCCTCCTGATCACAGATGCAAGTTACAGACCTTGTGCACAAGCTTTTGGGGCCACAGAGCTGTCACATGTATCACAGGATAGAGGTCATCACAGGTGAAGGTGACTGGGGGTCAGAGGGCTCAGGGCTTCGTACAAGGTCAAGTTAACTAGTGAGCAGTGGGAATTCAGAAATATTTTAGGCAGAGGACTGACAATGTGCATTGCGTGATTTTGAAGGATTGCTCTGGTAACAGTCTGGGAAGTGGGTGGGAGGGAAGTGAGAATCTTGGTGGTCCTTATGTTCTCCATCACAGGCATTCAACAACACCATTGTAGCATGCCAGCAGTCAAAGATAATAGGTAAGTGAATGAACATAAATGATGTAAATAAAACTTTATTTACAAAAACAAAAGGTGGCTGCCATTTTTCTTTGTGAGAATGAACTCTTGTTGGGCAAGCGAAGCCCAGGTGGCACAGTGGTAAAGAATCCACCTGCCAATGCAGGAAACACAAGATATGCAGGTCCGATCCCTGGGTTGGGAAGATCCCCTGGAGTAGGAAATGGCAACCTACTCCAGTATTCTTGCTTGGAACATTCCATGGACAGAGGAACCTGGTAGGCTACAGTCCATGGGGTCGCAAAGAGTCAGAAATGACAGAAGCAAATTTGCATGTATTCTTGTTGGATATATTATTTACTATTGATTAGACCCAGGCTCTGTGAAATTCCTTTTTGATTTGTGGATTTTTGTCTGCCAGAGATAAGATAGTTTATCTGATAGAAAAAACATTCTGCTTTTATTGTCCTGAATGACATTAACTAGTTTTGTATCTAATAAGATATCTTATTCCAATATTCTTTCTGTAGCACTTATGTAATAGCAATACTCAGCTCTTCAAAAATACTCCAAGCCAGCTTTACTATCAGGTTTCCTCATTAATGAGTTAAATAAATCTTGAACACATGTTAACTTTATGTTATTATGATAGTCATTTTTATTTTAACTTTCTGAAAATTATACTGTACTTTAGTAGAGGAGAGATTTAGGATAAGGCTATAATCCAGAAAAGATGCAGAGACTATGGAGATGTTAGGGATTTTTAAGAGGTATCATTGATAGGACTTGATGACTGATGATATGAAATTGTGAAAAAGAAGAGCGAGAATGAGTGGCAAGAATGAGTGGGTCCCAAGTGTAGCTTGATGTGGTGACAATGGCAGTGGCCTTCACAGAGATAGGAATACCATCACTGAGTAGTTCCCCCCAGACTTGGAAAGTTGCATAGTTGACAATGGATCTGGGGGGTGATAGGCAAATGGCAAAGAACCAGGTCAACCTCTAAGGCTCCCCATCCTTACTGTCTTGTTGGAAATTCAAATGCTAATCTTGCTAAGTTAGTATTCGGCAACCTGAGTTGAGAATTCAAATATTAATAAATTGTTTCCTGGGGTATTGCAGGAATACTGCTTTTGGGGAGAGAGGTCAAAAGAGGAAACACACAGATATCTGTGTCCCTTTCTAAGTGGGGCTGTATGGTGGGAGGGTGTAGAGCCCTGGAAGGGGTGTGGGTGGGGGGCTCTGCCCTATGCTCAGTGAAGACAGATGTCCCAGCCCTCATGAGGCTTACATTTGAATCAGGGAATATATTACACTGCATTATAAATGCCTTTTCCTCATTTCTGGGAGAAATTTATCCTCTACATATACGCTTACCAGCAACCCAGCAGATATACATGTTCATCAGTGGGGACTCATTAGGTAAATTCCATACAAAAGAATGCTAGGTTATGGTGGGAAAGAAAAAGAAAGTGCTGTACATCCTGATGAGAAATGATCTCCACAATGGGGTGTGATGTGGCCAGAACCAGGTGAGAAATGATTATGGAGTGTGCTACTTTTCGTGTCAGAAAGGGGGAAAGTAAGAAAACATATTTTTATTTGCCTGAAGTAACTCTAGAAGGGATACCCAAGAAACTAAGGAATGTGATAACCTGCTGAGGCGAGGGAAAGTGGGTGGATGGGGCAGGGTTAGAAGCCAGTTTTTCACCACTTTATACCATTTTTTGTTGTTTTGAACTTCAGATTTAGCAAAATTACCTATTACCTGTGAAATGAAATGAAATGATGGGGATAGTGTAGGCTACCTCTAGGAGTAGTGTGTAACTCAGAGTAAAGTAACAGGGAAGGCCCCCTGGAGAAGCTGACATTTAATCTGATAGGTTGGAGTTGGCCGGCAGTGGAGAGCAGAGGAATGTTTCAGACAAAGGGAACAGTACAAGTGAAGAACTTAAGGTGAGAGAGTATGGGGAATTGAGGAACCTAAATTCATTATGGCTGAGGGGAAACTTGAAGACTTGGGGTTAAGGTAGGTGGAGAGGGCTGATATTTATCAAGGGCTAACCTTAGATTTACCTGCAACAGAACAGCGTGTGCTGTGGGCTTCCCATACACCAGGCACCCTACCTAACCCACCATCTGCATCGTCTCACCCATTCCTCACATGATCCCTACTTGCCAGGTGAGGAACAGAAGCTCCGTAGTTTCAGTAGCTTCCTTGGGTCATGCAACCACTGAGTGGTGGATGGCAATCCAGACTGCCTGCTCCTCTGTTTTGTCATCTATAGTATGAGGACATCAGCTGAATAGATGAGATTAAAAGCATGGGAAGCACCTGGCTCAGTGACCGACGCATTATCGAGACATCCCCTATCTCACCTACTGATACTGGTGGCACCCAAGTCGTGGGGGATCACTCAAACTCACAGCACAGCCTGCTGGAGAGGGTTGAATTAGAGAGAAAAGAGAACTCAAAATATGCAGTTGAAATTCTTTACTAACAGAGTAAAAACAATTATTGTAAAGAAAGGAGCTGGGGAGACGTACTAAACCCAGATCTCCTAAATATAAGATTCTCAACCTCCTCTCCTTTCGCAGCTTGGGGGAGGTCATTTAACACCAGTGACACTGAGCAGAGCTGCCATGAGCTTGGCTCCTGCAGGCACCCTGCAGGCACCATCCCCACATGGTCTCAGCTGCTGCTTGCTGCAGCTGGCTTAGATATGCGTCGTTATCCCCATTTAATAGCCAAGGGAGCAGAGGCTGAAGGCTAGCCATCTTGCCCAAGGTCGTGCAGGTATAAGCATTGGACCAGACTTGAACTTTGTTCTCTGCTGGATGACAGGTTTTTTTTCATTTTAACCTATACCTAGGTGGTTAGGGCACAGTATGAAAAGAGCTATGATTCCACTCAAGTCTCTGACTCAACAAGGCTGCAGAGGGGGGTCCCAGAACCTCTAGAAGGATGATGAGGTGACCTTTGACTGGAGGGGGAGGGGGAGGGAGGGGAGGAGGAGGGGGAGGAGGGGGAGGAGGAGGAAAGAAGAAGAAGAAGAAGAAGAAGAAGAAGAAGTTGCTGTCCAGGTAGAGTGGAGACAGAAACGTACTCCAGGTGGAAGGACCAGAATGGACAAGGGTTGGGAGGGACTGAGGTCTGCGGCTCATTTGGAAAATAAGGCGGCTAGAGTGGCAGCAGGAGAGAGTGGGATGGAGCGGGAAAGCAGACTGTTAGCAACCAGACCTGATTTCATATATGAAACAAACTTTATCTTTTCCTTTGGCAAGTCCATTGTCGCCTTCTAATCTAAAAATGAGAAGAGAGAGGCCACTGAAAAGTGTTTTCCCATTTGAACCAGGTTTGCTGTGAAAAGACCCAGCTGGCCGGTGGAGGATCATGTTTCCTGTCTGGATGGCCTCTAAAGAGGGGTCTTTTGAGGAGGCTGAGTGTGGCCAGCCACTCTGCTCCCCTGTTTAATCACTCGCTACGTTCGCTCTCGCTGGTTCCTCGTCCATTCGCTGCCTCCACACCTCATCAATTACCCTGGGCTCGAGGAGGAAGGACTACCACACTGCTGTGGAGACCCCCAGTGCTTGGTGCTGACAACGGAGAGCTGGGCTCTATCTGCCCTGATGATCTGGGGACAGATAGGGGCCATTAACGCCTCTCTTAATTACAGAACCCCAAATCAGGCCTGCTAGTCCCCGACAGGCAAGGTGGGAGGAAACGTGAAGATACAGGCTTCATTTGATTTTATTTATTTTATTTAAATGAGCTAATATCTGAGAGCCCGAGGAAGAGTGCCAAGCATGTAGCGAATGCCAAGCATGTAGCAAGTGCCAGGCAAGCCCTTGGTATTGTTGTTAATTGTGCATGCTTAGTCGCTCAGTCATATCTGGCTCTTTGCAACCCCATGGACTGTTGCCTACCAGGTTCCTTTGTCCATGACTTTTTCAGGCAAGAATACTGATTGCCATTTTCTTCTCCAGAGGATTGTCCTGACCCGGGGGTTGGACCCTTGTCTCCTGCATCTTCCTGCATTGGCAGGTGGATTCTTTATCACTGAGCCACCTGGGAGGCCCCACTGGGGTTATTAGTGCTCTTATTTTAAAGGCAGAATTGAGACTTGCTCAGTTACACAGCTAGTGACAGGCTGAACTGGGACGTGTTCAGGCCAGCGCTCTTCCCCAGACATCTTGCTGACCTGCGAAGGGCTCTGAGGATTTTGTATCCACCCTTTAGTTGGTATTTTGAGCTCCATTTTAGGATCAGTTCTAAGAAAAGGCACAATAGAAAGCTTATTATCTTAGGGGAACCAGTGACAAAGGCTGTTTTTCTTCATTAAAATGTCTCTTTACTTGATCTCATCCCCAGTCAGCACTGTAGAAGAGGTATCTTCATTTTGTGGATGAGAAAACTGAGCATATGCATACCACACCTGAAGGTCTGCTCTCAGAAGATGCTCACACATTTTAACTCCCTCAGTCCTCTGGGTGAGCGCAGTGACTGTGAAAGTCGCTCAGTCGTGTCCAACTCTTTGCGACCCCATAGACTATACAGTCCATGGCATTTTCCAGGCTAGAATATTGGAGTGGCTAGCCTTTCCCTTCTCCAGGGGATCTTTCCAGCCCAGGGATCGAACCCAGGTCTCCCGCATTTCAGGCAGATTATTTACCAGCTGAACCACAAAGGAAGCCTGAGTGCAGTGACAAATGAAGATTAAAAAAAAAAAAGCCAACTGAAGATGTCTGTGTGAAAATTTATCTCCCACCTAATGCAGATCTTTCTCCCCTCCCAGAGTGTGAAATGAGAAATGATGACTAGAGAGAGTTTGGTGGGGTCCCCAGGGGGTCAGG